ACCGAAGCCCCAGCTTTCCAGAAGGTGAAATAGATATTGCCACGATATGGAGTCAAACGCCTTGCTAATATCAAGGGATAGGAGCATGGTAGGTATCTGCCGTTTCCTTGCCAGTTGGGTGAGTAGTGCTATCTTGCGGATATTATCGCTCGGCCGGCAGGTGGGCATAAAGCCCACTTGGTCTTTGTGGATCAGGTTCCCTATTCCCGAATTCAGCCTGGTGGCCATGATTTTGGCCAGGAGCTTGACATCAATACTGAGAAGGGAAATGGGCCGGAAATTGGAGGGGGCAGAGTTATCTGTGTCAGGTTTGGGGAGCATGACTACAGTGGCTGCTAAAGAGTTAGGGTGGAATAGATGGCCGGTGCGGATGGAGTTAAAGGCGTCCCGCATCAGTGGTGTTATTAAGTCGGAGTAGTTCTTATAATAGGTGGCAGTGTACCCGTCCAGACCTGGTTTCTTGGAAGTCTTCAGCGTTTTAATGGCTAGTGCCAATTCTGCGTCTGAAAGAAACGAATGGAACATGTCCATTATTTTAGCTGGGTTGCTAGTGAATGAAGCCCCCGTAACTCTGAGTCTGTAGGGCTGCGTCGCAGGGTCCGTTTTGCGCAACCTAGAGGCTAGGAGTGAGTCAGGCTTGTTCGCCTTAAGGTAGAAAAGGTGTTTTGTGCGTCTGAGTGCGTTCTCCGCTCGGTAGGTAAGATGCAAATTTAGGTTCCAACGCGCTATGTCTAGAGCTTTTTTGTGTTGTATGGTCGGTTGGCGTTGGTGAGCAGACGAGCGCTCCTGGAATTCGCGTTCCAGGGAGTGTAGGCGGGCAGTGTATTTTTTCTTAAATATAGGGGCAGTTTTGATGCAATGTCCCCCTCATCACCGCTTTGTGGGCCTCCCAAACGATCAGCTTGTCTGTGTCTGGGACACAGTTCAGGCTAATGTAGTGCATAAGGTGGTAGCGAGGGGATGCCTTTAAAGAGGAGTCGGAGAAGAGGGAGTTATTAAAGGACCAAGAGGGGGTAGTATCACTAGCTAACAATGAGAATAGGGAGATCATGACGGCTGAGTGGTCGGACCAGAAATATGTGGTCTATACGAGAGAATGAGTTATGGGGGTTGGAATAGAAAGTGTAGTCCCGCTCGGTGGGGTGTGTTTCACGCTAGCTGTCTACAAGTGAGTGTCGGGCCAAAAGAGAGCGTAGAGCAATAGAGCGGGTGTTAGAAGTGGAGGAGGAGTCCGATCTGACTAGAAAGGGAAACAGCACTGCGTTAGTGTCCCCGCAGAGCATCACGGTGCCTGTTTGATGTTGCGCGATCAATTGTAGAAGGTGTGTGAAAAAAGGGAATTGGTTCGTACTGGGTGCGTAGTATGTAACAATGGTTACTTCCGTGTCGTGCAACATCCCTGTGAGGAGGAGGTATCTCCCCGCCGGGTCTCTGATCTCCCCTGTAAACACAAACTGAGCTGCTCCCGCAAAAGCAATGAGGACTCCCCTATGTTTCGTGCTTGCACTGGCTAAATAGACCTGAGGGTAGCGTCGGCCAAAGTACGAGGGCGTGGAGTCGCGGGAGAAGTGGGTCTCCTGCAGACACACCACATCCGCTCCCAAGGAGCGAAACTGGTGGAACGCCGTTGTTCTTTTATGGGGGGAGTTAAAGCCCTTCACATTAAGGGTAAGGATTTGTACCGGTCTTATGGTGGAGGCCAAGGGTGATAGCTCATTAAATTGCATCCGCTGAGTGAAGGTCTGGTGCATGTAGGCGCTCTATCTCCCAACTTCTGGGAGTGGGTATGGAAGGGGGGAGGGAGGGGAGAGGAAAGAGTGCAGCTGAAAAGGGTAGTGAGAAAAGGAGAGAAGAAACAAAAAGACATAACAATAAACGTTTTAACAGTTCTATTACCAAGTTCAATAAGACCTAAGTAGGTTCTAAAATGAACCCAGACAGGTCGGGGCCCTCGGGAGATGTCCAACACACAACGGCCCATGCGGGGGTCACAAGTCCTCTCCAGGCCCGAACAACCTCTATACAACAAAGCTTCATAACGTGTGCGGTTTGTCAGCTATAAAAGTTAACGTGATATAACCCAGGTTAGGAGAAGGGTGGGTGGGTGACTGAGTCTCAGAGGAGAGCCTAAAGGGGAAGCCCCAGCTGTATGGGATATTGCGGGCCTGCAGGACTTCAGGACTGGTTTCATCTCCCTCCTCTTGGCGATAGTGGATGGAGCCAGGTCCGCGAACACTTGGTAGTCGTACCCTTGGAATGTTAGCGGGGACCGGTTTTCGAGTCGCCTGCAGGACGCTCTCTCTGGTGCGGAAATATAAGAATTTAGCGACCACATCCCTGGGAGGGCCCGACACAGGTTTCTAGGCGAGGGCCCGATGGATGCGCTCAAATTCAAGTCTTTCAAGCGGGTAGCAGGGTAGAAGCTCCTGCAAAAGGGCTGTGATGGTGGCTTGGAGGTCTATTACCGTTTCAGGGATCCCTCGGAAGCGGAGATTGTACCTCCGGGAGCGATTCTCCAGGTCTTCCAGCTTGTAGGTTTTCATCCCTCAGGGAGTCCAGGTCTCGGGCATATGTATCCAGCGTTACCGTCCATGCGGGCCTCCAGATCTGCTGTGCGATGACCCAGATACCTGATTTCCTTGGTCAACCGCTCTGTAATTAGCTTGGATGTGGTCTGTAGGGCCTTATTCAGCATTTTATCAATCCGAGCCAGAAGTTCCTTGTGGTCAGTAATGACTCGAGTAGGAGACGGGGAGCTGGCCTGGCTATCTCCGTCGTCTTCTCCTCGTGGGACAGAAGCCGCACGAGTGAAGGGAGAGGCGTGTAGGCCGGTCGGCGCCATCTTGAGGGCCGCCCCCCACGGCTAGTGCCTCCTTGATGTTTGGTGGCTTCTGATTCGATTTAGAGCCCGGGCGCGACATAGTTCCGTCTCTCAAGTTGTTGAGGGTGCTGTTCGGCGATCTGGGGACAGTTGTGGGTCAGTCTGGAAGGCTGTAGAGGCTATTCGGGACCCGGCAGGTACGGAGCCGATCTAAGACGCGTCCGTCCTAGCTCGTCGCGCGCATGCAACCAAATACTTTTTTTTTAAATGAGTGAAGGGCCGCTTTTCAGAGCTTTTCTTTTATCAATTGTAAAAAGTAGAAGAAATCTAAAAATTATCTGGCTAGTGATATCAACCTTATAGATACCATTAATTTTGCTGTGGCATTTGTCTAAATGTCTGCGGTCGGCATACTCATATTCACATACTATGTCTTGCAAAGATGAGAATGTTAAATCATAGGATCAAAGAATCGGCCCAAATGATGCCCTGGAACTGCTTCTTTTATCATTCTCTATCAAATCAAGCACATGGAAACTTTTTGGTCATTCGCATTTCTGCAAACATTGGATATGCTGCTGTGCCTTTTTCAATTGTTTTTAGTGGTCTTCTAGATTTGTAGGACTCCACACATCCCTAGAAAACAATACACAGTTAAAATACACATGCTGTGTGTGATTGATCTTAAAAGCCAAAGCATTTGTCATTCTGTCCACTTTTTTGATTCAGTGTGACACAACTTCTTTTATATAGAGGTCATGTGTATCTAAAGCCAATATTTTTTTTTTAATTTAGTTTTTGATAGTAATAAGGGGTATGAACCCTGCTTGTTTTGTATCCTCCCACTAGGGAGATTCACCCTCTCCATTTTCACTGGGACAGAAAGACAAGGAAAATCCAAATTTTTTGAGTTGCCACTAGGACAGGAAAACTTCCAATAAGGACACTTGTTCCATTGACAACTGTCTAAGAGGGCATTTCCCTCACTTTGGAGAACGTTTCTCTTACTTCCTGTTGTTTCTACTGGGCAGAAAACAAAGGGAATTCTCCCCAGTGGTGATTTTTGTGCTTTTGGAACACATTTGCTTGTGATGCTGGAACGCTTTTCTTGCAGTCAGTCATATCAGAAGCCTGATATGATGCAAGGACACCATTCTTGCTATATCTCACATACAGAAAGTCTGATGTACATAATGAAGATGTTTCTCACAGCCACCAATCGAATTGAAACCTACCTTGATAATGTCATTTGTGATATGGGAACTAAGAGAGGAAGTTACACAGCATAGGCCACGGAAAGTCCTATTGACCCTATGAGGTAGTCTGTGTGTGCAGTGGATTCAGAGGTAACATAACTAAGAAGGTGACTGGAAAATAGTAAAACTAAACCAGGAAAATATAAGAGTGTTGGTTGTGGATGTGCTGTTTGTGGATCACAAGATTGTAACCAATCATTTGATACATCAAAAAGTAAACATCTTTTCAATTATATATTCAATATAATTAGTTATATATTATTTAATTTAGTGGCTTGCCTGGGGGTTTATTTTAATGTATGGATTGGTGCATTGAGAGATTAATCCACATACAATAGAGACTGGTCACTGAGAGCTTGTCACATAGTATGAAGACTGGTGGTTCAGGATAAAATGCACATTCTCTGGACAGTGGCCACTGTGGGATGGACACATCAAATGGGGACCATTTATTGAGGGCTTAATAGTCATGCACTGGATAGTTCACTGAGGACATCTAGAGACATTTACCCACCCTGCACTTATCTTGCTGCTCCTTTCTCTATTAAAATGTATTAAAATGTGTGTCACTGTATCCTACCTACTTTTTTAAATACAAGGGCCTGTCTATGTACTTTTTACAAGTACTATTCACAATTGTTAAGTTCAAAGACTTCCAGAGAAATACATTATGTGAAAGGTTTTTATTATTTCATCTGTTTTTATGACAGTGAACGTGCTTGTTTGTAACGTAATAATTAAGTAAGATGTGTGTTACAATTTAAAAATCTAAATGACAAATACTTCTTTGTATAACTTAATTATGCAAACACATTGAAGACCTTGAATGCATCCACCCATGATGTCTGGCGGTTAATCCATCCATAAATAACAGATTGACATTAAACGGGTGTTCATTACATTAAAGCTGCTTTTTCTTACAGATTTTTTGGCTCCTCGTCCCACGTATCGCTTCAATTTAACTTCTCTCCAGTCATCTGAAGTTGTCTTGGCTGCCACTCTCCATTTTGGACCAGACAAAAGCCCTAGGCCTCCTAGAGAGTCCTTCTGCAAACGTTCCAAAAATGCTTCTTGTCGCCTCTTGCTACCATCTCTATCACAGAAGATCAGTGTCACCTTTCGAAGCCTCGTTCACCACACAGACTTGGGTATGGTGAAATGGAATGTCAGCAGTGCTGTTCCCTATAAAAAGGGGGCCTGGCATACCAAATACATAACTAGCATTATCAAGGAGGCCCAACATCAACAAGACTTGTTTATTTCGATTGAGATCGACTTTGGCCATAAACTCCCTACAGTCTTTGAGACTAACCCTAGCGAGGTTCCATATATCTTGGTATTTGCTAATGATAGATCAATTGCAGAACCCAATAGTGTGGCTTTGACCTTACAGAGATATGACCCATTTCAGCCCAATGGTGGAGAACCAAAGCAAGAGTCCAATGCGTCTTCAGAAAGCAGAGTGAAGAGGGAAATCCCTTTTGTGACTTCCACCCATGATAATGAACTCCCAGGTGTCAAATATGTACGTTACAGCAAACAGGACTTGTGGGAAGGTACTTACAAAGCCCTTAAGCAAAAACCCCCAAAGAAAGAGAAGAGAAAAAAGGGTCCTGAAAGTTTGGACACTGTTTTAAAATCTCCAGTGCTGCACTTTGATGAGCGGACCATGAAAAAAGCACGAAGGCGACAGTGGGATGAACCCAGAGTATGCTCTCGACGATACTTAAAAGTAGACTTTGCTGACATTGGATGGAGTGAGTGGATTATATCTCCGAAATCTTTTGATGCTTACTACTGCTCTGGAATTTGTGAGTTCCCCATGCCAAAAGTAAGTGATGGGCATATTTCTAAAATCTATAAATATGAAATCCAAGCAAGCAGTTTAAAAGACAAATTAACTACACACCTTTTACCTTGCACATAGTTTGCTTCCTGCATGGGATAGCTGTAGATACAGCTGGCTAAAAGTATCCCTATAGCCTTCCATGTGTCCATGGCAAGAAGCAAAATGTAAAAATATTGGTGCAATAGATACAAAAAGAGTCTGTGTAAGTCTCAGACAATGAATAGAGGTAATGAATACTATTTAAAATGTCATAATTTTATAGCAAACTGCCTTGTGATATTACATTTTCAAGGAAGCGAAATTTGGACTTTAAAGAGACCCTGTCCCCAGGCCATTCATTTTGACCACAATCTTCTGATTACATTATATGTGCATTCAATGTATTTTGTGCCTGTTATCTGCCTGTGTAGACATCCAAAAGCCTTGAGAGTGCTGCTGGGTGCAACCTTGGATGTAATGTCAGCAGTCCCAGGTGACTCAAAGCTGTAACTCAAGTGACACACTCTATAGTATTCCCCTGTGCCCAGGCCCCTCTGCCCAGGAAGCTACATGAAAACTTATATTAACAGTTGAAGAGCAGAGGAGCTGGGTCAGTACAAATAGTAATTAGGACACTCCCAGAAGAGAAGAGGGCTCTGATCTGCAAGGAGGGAGGGGGCTGTGCTAGGGAAAAATATTCAAGTTTTCTAGCAAGTTCAAAGGCACATTGCAAGTGAATAAAAATCATTTATGGAAAGAAAAAACACAGCAAGTAGGAATTTAAAACAATTGATTTTGTTGTGCTTCTACCTGCAATTTTTTTAAGTTGGTGACATGGCTTATTAACCGTTTCTTATAGCCTCTGCTCATATATTGAGCATTGTTTATACTCTTTCAGGGCAGATAAGAAATATATTTAAAAGTAGTATTAAAATCTCAAACTTGTTTTGAATAATGAATCCAGATCAAACAAATATACATTGCCCAGCAAAACATTGCTTTACTTTTTTGCCCAAACACTTACAATCATCATGTGTCGGAACAGCTGCTTCCAACTCTCTCAGCTTCCCTGAACTTCCTGTCCAGTACTAGATCACAAAGGACAATGCAGGCTCCATCAACTGTTCACCTACTAGCTGAGATAAGGGAGGACAGCGAGGAGGGGGCCAGGGAGGAGGGAAGTAGCTTGATTTGCTGTGTCTGTGTGTATGTGGAGACACACACCGCTTACTAGGACACACAAGGGTGACTGCATAGCACTCTGCTTGAGTCACTCTAAAACAGCAAGTTGCTGACTCTGCAGGAAACTAAAAATTCCAGCACAAGGGGCGAAGGGGGTTCTTCAAAGTAAGATCAGTTAGGGTCTGGAACTCACTGCCACAGACAGTGATTTCAGCAAAGAATGTGGAATTGTTCAAGAAACTTTTGGACGATTTCTTAAGGGACCGTAATATACAGGGGTACAGGTACTCCTAGAATGAGATCCTAATAGGTTGGACTTAATGGACTAATGTCTTTATTCAACCTCAAATACTATGTAACTATGTAACTATGTAAAACGTTTAAACATCAAGGAGCAGCATCCACTGTAAGTGATTTTGAAATAGCTTAAAATCCTTTTGACTTTAATATCTATATTTTATCATAATATCTATCCTAGTTTTTTAGGTACCATTCGTGCCATAAAACTAAATTTCTAGAAGGGGCTGATTTCCTGTACACGCAGGATGTGAAATGCACTTGCAGAGATTGTTCACATAATAAGGGAAGTATTTGAACTCCTGCACACATAGGAAATTAAATACAGGAGGAGAGCGCTATAAGATGTGAACACCAATACGCACAGCTCCCTGCCCAGTATATGTGCCACTAGTGAAATCTGCAGTCCAGCACATACAGCTCAGCTCACTTTATCCATGTTACCAGTGAGATCTGAACTCCAGCACTCAATTACACGCAGTTCCCTCCTCAGTGTCAATGTCACTAGTGAGATACCTCAATCCATTGTATGACACACAGCATCTCATACTTTTCTATTATACACAGTGCCTTATACTTTAGTATTACTGTATATGCATTGATTCAGGACTTCTGTTACATGCTGTGCTTTGTCTCTGTCTAGTATACGCAGTGCCTCATGCGTCTGTATTTTGGTGGTAGCTGATACTCCTCCATGCAGTGTGTTATACCTCTCTGTTATTCACAGTGCTTTTTACTGCAGAGCTTCATAACTCTGTGTTGCCTGCATTGTTTAATATATCTGTATTATATAGAGTGCCTCCTGTGTATTGTGCAAAGTGCCTCATTCCTCCTGTAATACATGATATCTGTATTACATACAGCTTTTCACACCTCTTAGACACAGTGCTTTTCTCTGTGTCCCAGATTATTCAAGCTCAGATATTTACCAATGTAATCTATCGATTCATTCAACTTTGACTTGTGTAAAGCTGGCCACGTACATTACAATCTGATTGAACAATCTACTAAGGCTATATTAAGCTGTACTTGAAAAATTTTGACAACTGCTTTGCGCAAACTGTTAAGCTCGCCATAGACATTAAAAATGGATGGATGTGTATGCACTATCACATTTTTTTGTGCTGTCTTTTAGGCCAGTTTTTTTTAAAGTAGAAGCCCTGTAGACACACGCTCCTATTGAGGGACTTCTAGAGAGCTGTGACATGAAAGAGAACAAGGAAGAGCTTACAACAGCCTCCATGCAGAGGCATTAATAAACGACATAGGAATAGCTAGGAGCAGTGGCAGAACTGCGACCCAGGTGGCCGCTATGGGGCCCGGGGCACAGGGGGGGCCGCTTGGGTCGCTATAGCATCACAGGTTGCTGGCTGTCACTAGCGACTGGGAGGAGGAGCGTGCCGCTGTCCAGATCACTGACAACCTGTCAGTGATCTGTGCAGCGGTGCCTTCCTCCTCACAGCGACTGCTGAGTCAGTCACAGCCAGCAGCTTGCGGTAGAGGAGGCAGCGCCTGGCAATACTGGAGGAAGGGGCCAGGCCGACAAAGGTGGGGCCCACTGGCGATGGAGAAGGCTGACAGCTGATCGAGGCTGACAGGTAAGAGGTGTGCAGGGGTGTGACCAGCCCACCTGAGACCCTGCAGAGCCCACCATAGAGAGCCTATGGTGGGCTCTGCAGGGTCACTCTCAGGTGGGCTGTGTGGGATCTCAGGTGGTCTCTGCAAGGGGCGTAACTAGAAAACACAGGGCCCCATACAAATTTTTGCTATGGGGCCCTGTGATTTCTAGTTACGCCTCTGGCTAGGAGACACTGTCACCTTGCCCATTCATTGACTAGGTCTTTGTAAAAGGCCTCAGAATCCCCTGATACTCACCATGCCAGAGCTTCCTCGCCTCTCCTGCCTTCCTAGTATCGGCTGTGGTCAGAGATGTTGTGAATGTGTAAAAGGATGAGAACGTAGGGATATCTCAGTCATTGATATCAGTTATGTGCCTGCTCTAGTTTTTGAATGTCACAAAGGGGCACGAGAACTTTGGCTGTAGCATAAACTGTAGTAACATGGAGAATGTTATGGAGCCCTGAATTTCCCATTAAGCTACAGGAAATCTTGATTTGCATCTATTTCCAAAGAATGTGACTCGATCTGGCAAGCCTGCAAGTGGTGAATGTCACAAAAGTTTGAATGGAGCCTCCAGAACTCACATATCATTTTTGAGTGTCGGATTATTTTAGTGCTTGTAAGAAAACATAGCAAAGCAGACAAGAAATGGATATTTTTCTACATGCATATATAGGAATAATAAATACAGTGGGAACTCCAATAAAGCCCAAGAAGAATTAAGATAGTTACAAGAGATGACAGTTATACTGACCAGAACTGAATGGTGTGAGTTATGTTGTCTCTGATCTCTGATTTAGCCACAGAGATCATCTTTCCTTCTAGAACATCTTCATGCACATATATGTAAAAACATTTAGCTAATAAGTGTTTTCCTTTAGAAGGCATGAAATCATTATTTAGTTCAGGTAATTACCTGGAAATTGTATTTATATAAAATGTCATATAGTGATAGATTTAAATCATCTGTTCTCAGATAAGGGCTGGAATGAAGATAAACTAGCACCTTTGTATAATGCTGGCCGCACATTGGTAACATTTCGGCCACTTCACAAGAATTAGTCGTAATTGTACAGTGGGCTGCTCTGAACGCTTTTGAGAAATTGTTGGCTGAACAGTGAATGCAACCGATGCCTGTTGCTGTCAGAATACAATAACCACAGCAGGAGGTTCATCCATCCATGCTGTTTATGGTGGATGGAGGAATCTTAGATTTTTTTTTTTTATTCAGCTCACAAACCAAATGAAAATAAATCTATTAGTGTATGACCAGCTTAAGTCATTGGTGAGGTAAATAGTCTTAAGGGAAGGTGTAATAATTGCAGAAAGCTTGAAAGTATTAGAACATGAAGGCATGAAAGCATCCAATACACTGTCTGTACCGCAAGAATGATGGTAGAGAGGAACTACCTTGAAGTCCCTTTAAGTTCATTTAACAATCTTAGTTTTTTGAAGTTTATCACCAACTGACCACATGCAGTGTCATACAAAACTTTATCAAACATTTTCTTTGAGAAAAAAAAAAAATTATATATATA